ACTTCACGCCTGTTTTCTGTGTGGTCGTGGTATTGCACCGGGCGAGCCGGCCCATTCGTGCGAAGATGTTAAAGGGGGCTCTACCACTGTTAACTTACTTTGTCTTTACAAATATTTACTAAATGAGGAAAAAACATTAAAACTTAATAAGCATTTATTGAATATCGTAAGACGATATACATAGAGAAAATTATCTTTAGATGACACACTTGCTCAATCCCGTGATCTCTGTTCAACGAATGGCACTCGGAATGTCGGCTCTTATCACAATAACATTAAAACAACAATACAAATACAAGAGAAAGCCCTTTACAGTCTATTTCCACTTGGATAACTACGCGACTCAGGCTGAAGCAGTCATTTCATAAAACAGTTGACATCTGTGGAAGTAGGCTTTAAGCGATTCACATATTAATCTAAAAGAACATTGAAAAGAGGTCAGATAAACTAATTTAATTTTTATTCTACACACCTTTAAGGCACATACACTATTTTACAATCTAGAAATATTTTTTTTACTTATTAACTATGTGATGTTTCTGTATAAAATTAAATAAACTATATCTAAGTACAATTTTAATGCTGTTTCAGCTATCAAAGACAGGAGATTCAAGTTTAAAATGTTTAAATATAAATTTCACGTAATATAAACACTTGCTTGAATACCGTTTAAAGACTAATTTAACTGAAATATAACTGGTTTTGATTAACTAGATTCGGTTTATTAAGAAAACATTTCTATTCTTATTTTGGTCATTTTCGGAAAAGACTCTTAATCAAAAGATGATACATTGTATAAGTTCTTAAAATAATTTCAATTATATAATTATGTTTGTATATACCGCCGTAATATTAGTTTTCTCTTGATCCATGCAAAATATAGTTACAATTTAGTAAAGTATCAAAATTAATACAATTTATAAACACTTTTAGTAATTATTGTAGTCCTGTGTGATCGGGGTTTTCAGGGACGCTTTCATCCACACATAAGTACAAGTTTAAGTACATGATGTTAGTCTTTAATTTGTCGTAATCATGTGTATTTTAACGTACTATTGACAATCGTAAAACTTTAAGGCACGGAATGTTCCACCGCCGAGGACGGATAATTAGTATTGATAATTACTAGATAAAAGATATCAAAAAATGCACCTTCATATTTTACTACTTGGAAGACTTAATCAATTTTCGATTATATATTAATTTTGACCCTGCTCATATGATCATCTTGCTTCTCGTATACAACTTTCTCATTGGAATACAGTTTATCTTGGATAGCAGCAAACGATTGCCCTTTTGTTTCCGGCAAAAGGATTAATATAAATACAACGCCACCTACTGATAACAATCCGAAACACCAAAATGCTACATAGTTTCCTAAATTATCTGCAATCACCTGGTACAATTTAGTAACAGCAAATGTCATTAAAGCTACAAATATTTGTATCACACACGTTGCTTTCGATTTGATATTCGTTGGAAATATTTCCGAAGTTATAGCAAACGGTACTGTTGCTAATCCTATAGTATAAGAAAATATAAAAATAGGTATCACAATGACAGGAATATAGCTTAAATTAACGACGTATTCACTGTTTTCGTGTTTCATAAAAAAGTAAGCTCCTATAATAATATTTGCTATACCGACTCCGCACGATGATACTAACAACAATGGCTTCCTTCCTAATCTATCGACTAGCTGTGAAGATATCGCTGATGTTAACAATTGTACGGTTCCGAATAATATACAAGATTCTTTAGCTCCCAGCCCACCTTCTGCAGCACCGAATATTTGCTGAGCATACGCTATTATAGCCGTACTTCCACAAAACTGTTGCGTGAAATATATACCTAATAATATAATAAGTCCTTTCTTATTACCACCAACTGCCACTAAATCCTTCCATCTACTCTTCTCTTTCATATTCTCATTGACTAGATGTGACATACAATCTAGTTCTTCTCTCATAAAACCTCTTCCCCGGAGTTTCTTTAGAGATACTTCTGCTAAGTTGTGTTGTCCCGATTTCAAATAATAATATGGAGATTCGGGCATTGCGCTGAAGGTAACTACGAAAAGGATTGGAATAGATATGTTGAAGCTGGCGAGGCCAAGCATCGACACGTACGGCCCGATGCAATACTGCGACAGGATTCCGAACTGAAATTGCAGATATAGAAACGTGTTAAATTACATCCTAAATTCAAAACAATCTTATCTTGATTTAGATAGCTTAAGAAAATATAAGAAGACATGCACATTTTCATGATTTATCTTAAAACAAAACTAATTTCCAATCAATCAATAAAAGGGAAAACTCATAAATATTTCGTTTAAACAATAATTAGACTTTTCATTGTTCACCTTTAAAGGCACCTAGTTTAAACAAAGGACACAGAAATCATGTAATTATTATTTTTTGCTTTTTAGAATCCACTTCAATTAAATTTCATGAACAATAAAATTAGACATTTACCTTAGACATAACAGTGATGAGGGTGGCCATTGCTCCCCTGACTTCGTTTGAAGCTATCTCACCCAAATACATGGGCGCGGCGGTGTATGCTATGCCGTACCCAAGTCCAGATATCAACCTGGATACGTAGATCGTCGGTACATTGCTCGCCAGCATAACCAGAATCCAGCCAACGATGTATGGGACAGCTGCCAGAAGTAACGTTTTCTTGGTACCTATTCTATCTGCGAGGTACGATGCCGGTATCGGACTGACAGCTGAAATTGAGAAAACGATGATTTAAATTTCTTTTTGGTATAGTAAATTCTTGTTGTATCTATTGATAACTTCACTTGAAGGCATTTTAACTTTTACTGTACACGTGCCTATTGTTGTTGCAACTCAAAATATTCAAGGAATTCCCAACACATGGTTTATGATAATTTGCTTATAAAGTAACCTAAGTGTATGATGCAATGTTTACTGTCTGTGTCTATTTAATTAATTAATAATTATTAAATATTAATTTAACTCAGTTTCCTAAGAATTTCTTTCAATATTAATTTTTCTTAATAACACACTTATAAATACTTGGTATTCTTTTAATTGTTATTGAAAATTTATGATCTTGAACTATATGATTGAGCTATTGTACCTGCTTGCAATTGTTGACAATTCTTTTAAGAATAGACAATAGAATCCATTCTATGACCATAACCTCCTTATATTATCGTCAAAGACACGCAAAAAGAGACGAAATATTACCTAACGCAGAGTTTGCAAGCTATAAATCTGATCATTTCATTACGATCAATGATTATTCTTGATATAAATTACTCTAACTCTAGCCTACCTATCCCCAGCGCATTCCAGAATTTACAAGATCTAGACAGTTCAGATGTAAAAGCCCATCCTGATTGGGATCAACAATTAAACACAGAAATTATTTAGAAACTAGCTGTCGCCCGCAAACTTTGTTAGCGTAAATTTGGACCACCAGTTTCGCCATTCTGGCAGCGCGCAATTAAAAAAAGTAGCTTATAATATGCCCGTCTATATCAGCTATCCTTCAGTGAAAGTCCGGTCGAAATCGGCCCAGCCGTTTCGGAGTGTACCCGGAACAAACGCGGCTTGTGGACAGACAGACGAAAATTTTTTAAGTTATCAGAAACACAAATTCATCATTTTCCCGAAATCTGGCATTTTCTTTTGATATTGCAGACACTCCAATTTTATTATATGTATACATAGGTATAGATACCTGAGCATAATATCATGAGGGAGGCGATCCATGAGCTCTGATCAGCTGTAGTTTGTATGGGCGAATCTTTGTCCATAAGGAGAGGCAGCGTTGGCGACGTCCAGCCCACGGTCGTGCCCGCCGCCGCCGTGATCAGCGTCGCTGGAACATTGTGATGATTAAAAAAAATCTTACAATAACGTAATAGCTGGTTAGATACCAAGATACGTTAAAACTTAAATAGTTGTGGAATCATAAAGCGAAATTAAAGCCCTTCTAAGTTAGAAGTTACCTACTATTTCTTGATATGTTCGACACAAGGACGTTAAAATTTATGTCAGAGTAAAATTTGTCTATATTAATATTATAGGCATAATTGTATTCCTGTAAGTATTCAAATAAGTCAAAAACCTACTGGGCCGATTTAATAAATGTATTCACCATCCAACACTTAGTTATTAGTGTGTAACATAGGCTATATAATATACTGCTTGCTCGTGACTTCGCCCGCGTGAAATTAAAAATTAACAAATAATATAGCCTATGTTACTCACGGATAAATTACCTTTCCAACGGTGAAAGAATTTAAATCGGTCCAGTAGTTTTTGAGTTATTTTAATACATACAAAAATACAAATCTTTCCTCTTTATAATATGAGTATAGATTATTTATTTAATCTTACGCGGGCGCAGTCGCGAGCATAGCTAGTATATTATAAAATTGTGTCCAATACCAGTTCCAAATAATATAAATGATGAAATGTCAGTAATTGATAATAAAATAGTTTTAAAACAACTAATTAGTACCATTTATTTCGAACGTAATTTTCGCATACATTAAACAACTAACCTTTATCATCTTTTTCACAACGCGTTTATCAAAACTGGTATAGTGTTCATTTAAATAAGGTTTAATTGCTTCATTAGGGAATATTAATCCTATCCTATGTTAATCTATAATTATGGCACCCACGGGCTAATTATTACGTATTACATAATTTTAGAATGATATTTTATTAAAAGAATCTTAAAGTTAATTAAAAAATCATACATTTTTTGATTACTAATAGTTTTCCAGTAGTTTTACTTAATTTTTTTTTCATTTACTTGATTTTTAACAAATATACTTTCTCTCATTACTTTCTATTCATCTTTTTGATATTGAGATAGGTAAATGATCAATATATGAGTTAGTTTCTTCCGAGTAAATAGAAATGTATTATCATTGAAATAATTATAACGTCATAGTAAACAAACTACATGTGCAATACAAGGAAATCAAACGTCTTGATTACAATAACATACAAGATATCATAGTAGTTAATTAAGGCAGATCATCACAAGGGAAGCTCTAGTAAACATTGAAGATAAACAGGGAATTAGAACTGCGTAGTACATATTAATTAATACGTACACGTTAACTGTGAATTAATGTTTATTTTTTTTAATATGTAAGTACATATGAAGTCTCTAAGAGTAGCTAGTCAACGCAAAATAAATAAAACCGTTCAGGCTAAAAAATTAAAAAAGTAATAAACTTAAAAACTCTTTCATTTTGTGTAGTTTCCTACCAATCATTACCAGCTCACTATACGTCCCCACAGACGGGCTCGGAGCCTACCCTGAGTTATGGTGACTAGGCCATAGTCAACCGCGCTGACCCACTGCGGATTGGTTGACTTCATACCTATCTTTGAATTTCTTTGCTAATATGTGCAGGTTGCATCAATGTTTTCCTTCATCGTAAGAACGTCAGGTAAATTATGTACATATGAAAATTCGAAAAATCACATTAGTACATGGCGGAATTCGAACCCAAGACCTGTAGATTACAAGTCAATCACTGAGCCACCGATATTTCGATCTTTCCTAGCAATATTTCATCCGTTCGGTCCGTTCCGTCCAATCCGTTCAGTAGTTTAAAATTGCATAGTCGACGAATATTCTTTTAAGAATTTAAATTCATAAGGAAGCCGAAAAGAAGATATAGTAAAACTAATATAAAATATACACCGTTTAGTTTGTCTAACCATTAACATAGGTGACATTTTAGACATAATGTTTATTTACTACTTATTGTTCGAATGGTTTCCGGTTACTATAATGTTTAACAATGAAGGGGCATCTATGACATTTATCGTACTTCACACTAAATTATCTACATTTTTGATATTAAAAGGTGGCAAACAAGCTAGCGGACTCCTGAATGCGCCGAAATAGCGTAGCGACCGCTGCCCATAGAAATCCACAATTGCAGATGCTTTGTCTACCCTTAATCTACGGAGGAGGAGACGCACATAAAGAGGATATTTCCCCTCCTATGTGTCTTCTCCGCCGTCAAATTCACTTTACCTTCCCATTCTTTAATCTTAAGAAAAGAGTGGAAAGGAAAAGGGACTAATATAACATGTTTACTGGTTTCCACCGGATTTATTCTAAACAATACAACTAAGCAAAGACTTGTCTGGTAGATTTAAGGCTTGGCGTTTAAAGGGTGGTGTTTAAGTACAAGACTTTTAACTTAGTATTCGTAGTTTCTCCAATAAAGTTACCTGGACAGATAATTTACAGATTGAATGTTAGTTTTTTTTTATGCAAAGAAATAACGATATCATTTTATGAACACGAGACTATTACCGAGGACGTTGGTAATGTTTCTGTAAACTCAAGTCCGTGGTTTCGAACGTAATCGTGTTTAATAGCAAATATATTTTGTTTGCATTACTGTTTGTGAACAAACTTTTAAGAAATATTATAAAAAACATAAGATACTAGCTTTCGCCCGCACTTCCGTCCGCGTGGAATTACAAATAATAAAAGTAAGTAGCCTATCTGTTCTTCCAGACTATCCTCTACATTTATGCCGAATTTCATCGAGATGCATTCAACCGTTTAGTCTACAAACTCTAACAAACATCCATCCATCCATCTAAACGTTTGCATATATAAAATTAGTAAGATTTATTTTTGCAATTTGTTATTTCAAAGCATCTCCGAGATTTAAGACACGTAACAAAGAGGTAATCGAGTTTGTGTTCTAGTAATTAGGGCCTAGTTAATAGTTGAATACATCCTACTGAAACATTACTAATCGTATTAGCATAAGGAGGACTTACGACATTTCCTAAGATCCATTTTCTTTCAAGTTCAATTCATGCCTCATCCTTTACTAGAGAATGAGAAAGTTACTTTAAATATTTCCAGACAGACTTGCACTTGTAAGTATTCGAAATAATAGCAAGAATGTAGCGTTTATTAAATTTGTAAGGTTTATACACACATATATGATGTTAATTACGAAATGCCGTTAATTAAATTTTATAAAAGTCTATAATAATTTTGATATTATATAAACCTCAAATTAAATCAGATAGGGTTGTTGTGGAATTTATAGCAATTAAACCCATATAAAAATATGATAATGTATTTAATGAAAATCTTAATTTTGCCGTCTTTTTTTAAATAAAGGCAATGAGTAAATGGTGGCTGAAGATTACTAGCATTATGTTAAGTTGTCCAAATCTAAACGCTTCGGATGCATTACAAATTGCAAGATAAGTTAACAATGAAAAAAGTGATACGTTAAGTATCAGAAATAACACGGTGCTTAATAAAAATAGTTTTTCTTCTGATAAACTGAACTACGCAATCACTATATCGATGGTCCGAGGTCATACAAGTGTAATCAGTTATCAATCGTGTCGCATATTTGACTGTCTGTGTTCTGACTTCTGAATGACTCAGTAGTTTTATTTCGTTGTTACCATATGTGTTTGATATGGAAATCTTAGCTGATTTTAAAGCATTAAATAAAACCATACGGATACCAGGCGACATCACAGAGAAACATGTTTCGCGACAAATTGTTACCCTTACAAATCCGTAGTGACGTCTAAACGACGGTTAGAGTTAAAACCAATCTCACAAACAAATGAACTTGTAGTTTTTTTTCACCTTTTTAATTTATCAGCAGGAATAACCTAGTACGAAGGCCGTCTGGTTTCTAACCGGGTTGACATAAGTTAACTTTTTATCAGTTTAGCCTGTTGCAAACAAGCTCATTAAAGGTCATCGACTTAATGGAAGGTTCTGAAGACCGGAAAAGATATTGACAAACATCGCGAATAAAAAACACCGAAAGTATGCAAGCAATCTTAATCTGAAACTTAAATGTAACTTAACACGTGATAGGGATTTGCTTGTTATAAATCAGTTTTCGTGAATTTAGTCTTTCTTTACTTAGTTATTTACACATTATGCATAAGTTTCGTAAAAACAAATAAATATGTTTCTTTATAGATATCTGAAAGAGTTAGAAAAAATGGATATGGAGATCTAAAATGAAGACCCATACTATGGTGATTGAAACTTTCTACGTAAGTAGATACACGTTATCCGAATATTATAATATCAGTTTTATATTTAGCAGATGTAATACTGTAGGAAATATTCAATATTAAAAATAGATTTTGTTTTCATCCCGCGTCATTGACCACAGACTGTCACACGATATTATCGCGAACGAATCTGTGGTTCACCTTGATTTATCTCTTATTATTTACATTAATTAATATTTAATTTTGGTTACTATCTGTCATTATATTATAATAAACACACACTTCTTTGTTTGTTAATATGTCAGCAATTACAGAATATTTTTGAATAATACTTTTTTTTAATAAAAATCCCTACACTTGCGTCACGCTTTAGACTATATATTTTATGGCTATTAAACTTAGGGAGTAAATATTTTGGTTAAAAACCCTAATGTGGGAAAGAGACCATAAGTTGCTGCCAACATCAAAAAAAGCAAGGTTTTAATCATGTAATGCCATTTTGACATTTGTAATTTGACAAATGTCAACAATAGATTTTTTTTTTATAATTTCATGCGGATGAAGCCGCACGGGAACAGCTAGTACATTACATAGGGATAAACTTATCTTGTTTGGTAGGTAAAAGTGCAACTAAAGCTTGTTTCTTGTCGATTGACATTTAATGCCTAAATCTTAGACATGGATTTAAAACCTGTTTAGATGTAGTTTTAATGAAATGAAATAATGAAGACTAATCTATTCTTATTAATAAAACGAGTCAAATAACATCAAAGAATATACATTAAATTAAATAATACAAGTTTATTATTTTATAGTGTAATGTTT